ACGAGCATTGGTATCTCGGAAACCGTAATAGATACGAAGATGGTTAAATTGGGCTAAAGCTGTGTTATAATTACTACGATTAATATTATGCAGATTATTAGATTAGATTAGACATTGAGATTTCAAATTTACGATAAAAAGAGTTAAAAAGAATATCTTAAATTACTGACCTGGACATTATTTATTTGAATCTTTCAAATGGCTCGAATTTTCTTATTCAGTGTTAATTAGCGCTGATCAATATTGTTGCGATGAATATAATCAGACTAAATAATTTAAAAAACCATAGTCATTAAATACTTAGTTTTGTTATTGTTAAGGTACCCAAACAAAAAGTATCAAGTGTGGCTTATCATTGTACTCAGGAGACCAAGTTCTTTCAAAACCTGAAAAAAATGCAGGTCCGTATTTAAAAAAAATAAGTTGGCCTCCGTATCTCAAAAACTCACATCACACATATCACCTAATTTTAAAATCTAAAAATACTATCAGATAGCCCTAATAAAGTGGCTGAGAATGTGTAATTAGTTTTTTGATTTTCTAAAAAGTAACGACAGGAAAAAATAAAATTGATTTTCAAAAAAATCCGTTTTTTTCCAATATGGAGGGTTTACCATATTGGTCTTTGTCAATAGCCTACCATTGTTCAGTACAAAGGACCGCACATTTGCTAGGCTGTCTCACCGACATAAAATATGTTCTGTCGTTTCTTATTTAGACTGACAGAACCTGCTTATGGCTTTGTCTGCCAATCTCATCGACTTTCTATGTGTATTCATCTCACAATGCCCTGTTGGTAGACCCACTATAGCTTTGATTGTCTTTTTGTCTTAGCCTATCAGGTCTGCAGTAAATTTTTGGTGAATATTCATTCTACCATAGTTTAAGGAAAATAGTAGTTGCACTCTCGCAAATATTTTCTGCCAGTTTTTGCAAGTTGGCAGGTTGCAAAGCGTTTCAGTTGAATTCGGTTCGTCGAGCTGTGAGGTTCGAGCGTTGCGTCCGAGCACAGGGACGGATTTAAAAATGAGAGCCTTACTGTGCGCTGCTATTAATTGTGGAAATAATTCAAAAAATTGTTCTTTGAATCTTTTTAGATTTCCATCGGATGTAAATTGGCAAGCTCATAGTAATTATCAATTAACATTTAATTATATTTGTTTATTTTAGAAGCTGAGATATTATGTAATTAATTAAATGTTATTATTTTTTTAGCATGTGTGCAGATTTTAAAAATAGTTTTTTAGATATACAGGTTGTCTCAAATATGCGCATGAAAATATTTTTTGGTCAGGGGATTTTCCATAAAATTTTCATTCCAATAATAATTTACGAGATAATTTATATAAATTGGTTTTTGAAACAATTTTAGAGTAAATATTTTGTACATCTAAAGTCTCCGCAAATTATTCATATTTTTTAATTGAAAGAATTTTATAATAGCATAATCTCTTATAAATTTAGTGGACTGTATTTTTTATGTTTTTTTTATTTATTTTTTATTATAAGTGGTCATAATATATAACAATATTTTCAAAATATTATAGACAAAATATTGAGTTTATATTTGAGGGAAGAAAAGTGCCACACCTAGCTTTAAACCACCGTAAATATACAGGGTGGCCCATTAGTGCGAGGAAGTCCAATATTGTCGTCGTTGTCGAAGATGTGAAAAAAGTTTTATTCATATGTTTCAAGGTTTATAAAGAGGTGTATCCTAAAATATTTTGTTATATACAGGGTGTCACAAAAAAAGTTATGGTAAAGTTAGTTTGATTTTTTTTATTATTTTACATCATTCCATATACATTATTCTATATTGGGTATTTTTTTATGGCGTCACCAAAATCGCAATATTTAAAATGGTATATCTCAACTTTTTTAAATGCGACATTCTGTATATTATTTTTCTGTCAGATGCAGAATTAAAAAGTGAACATTTTTTTATTGATTTAAAGTGTTTCTAAATTTTTACCGCTGTCGCAGAGATTCGCAGTATTATATTACATATGGCTCTTTCAACAGTAAATTTTTTTCAAAGCCACCTAATATGATCTTTGTCTATCTTGTCTTGTCAAAAAATGTTCACCTTTTAATTCTACATCTGAAAGAAGAATAATATACAAGGTGTTGCATTTAAAAAAAATGAGATACAACATTTTTTAAATATTACGATTTTGGTGACGCCATAAAAAATATCCTGTATACGATAAAGAAATTTTTCTACACGAATTTATTCCGATATCCTTCATGTTTAAGAAAACATAGCAAAGTATTAATAAAGTTATATTCACTCTAGTTTTTTACCACTTTTCGTATATAATGTTTTTAACCAAAGTTTTAGTAAATAAGAAATAGATTGGCAACACCGCAGTGTGCTTTAAATAAAGACAGTGTACTATAGCATAATTTTATGAATCCAGTTATCTACAGAAAATTAAACTTGCTTTAAATAAAAAAAAAGTCGTAGAAAATCTCTGAAATAGATAATATAAAAATATGTCATTATATATTTTTTCCGCATTTCTTTCCATCAGAAGATTTTCAGATACAGAAGAATTGTTACCTACACGAAATGTGAAAATATTCTGTTTTCAAGCAAGTTTTTACTCGATGATCATTTTTTTATTTTATTTTATTGTGAACTCATATTTTCCTAAATACATATCTGTGAAAGTATGGCGAGTGCCACGTCTATACCTTGCCTAGTTAATAGACCACGACTATACAGCTACGTCGTCGGCTACGGAGGCGAGAACAAGGTCATATAAAGTGGCAGAAAAAGAACAAAGGATTTGACAAGGAGTAAAACTACTGCTTTCCTTATACTATGATTCTACTATGAACATCATATATGCCTTTTGTGTTTTTTTTAATTAAACAGTTGCAACAATCTACAAATCTATGCAACCAGTAATTCATTAACAGAATTGCGGGGTTTAGTTTTGTTTTCAGACTAGAAATTACAAATTATATTCTTTCTGCTTACGTAGCATTAAAAGTAAGATTTTCCGAATAACCACCCTTCTTTTACCCTCGTTTCTGTTTTTTTCCACCGAGATAAAACGAATCCCCACTAATCCGACAGCCAGCGCCGGAAAGCGACCCGCAAAAGAAATATATGAATTTTTAACGAGCTCCCGCCATACAGTCTGCAATTTTAATTTCGAAAGTATTAAACGGCGATTTCTAACGAATTCCTAAATGGTTCTCGCTGGGGCCGATGTTAATTATGCTCGAGTATAATTTAATTGAGAGTGTTTTTACCGTCGCCGTCGGGTCGTCGTTATAATTATTATTAATAGGTTGTTGAAATTAGAAGCCTTCTTTTTTGCTTATAAAATGTTTTGGAGATTGATTTTGTTCTGTTACTTTTTTTCATATTTTTTTCAGGAATTTTATAACAACATTCTTAGGCAAAAAATTTCGCCACCCTAATGTTTTTGTCAAATTTATGTCATATAACTTTCTTATTTTTCCGATTTTTATGATTTTTTTACCAGTTTGTATGGAGCGATCAAGAATGATTGAAATAGTTGGCAATACTGTGTTGGAGGATTTTAGTATTAGTATTAATTAGTAGTGATTGGTATTGATGCTAAAAAAGGTATCGTTTAGAAAATTTTAGCAAATTATATCAATTTATTGTGGTCCTTTTTTTGCTTTTCAGTATTTTTGCAATGTATCTCAGAATATTTGCAAGTGTTGAATATGTCATTTGTGAAAAAAATTACTATTTTTCTACTTACTCTTTTACTTTTACCAATACAATTATTGTAGTGTTCAACATAGAAAAAGAATACATAAACATGTTTATTTCCAGTAATAATACTAATTTTATCTTGTTTATATTATTTTAATCTATTTTTTAATAATAATATAAAGTGGCGTCTCAAAAGTGCCTATAACTCAGATAAAAAAACAAGATTTGGTATGTTAGTATATGATATAAATTAGGATTGACTGACGTATTCAATTGTTTGTGGTCACTTCCTGTTTCACCGGAAATGATGACAACTTTTGATTTTAAATGCCACCTTTGGTATATTTTTACTTTATTCGACACTCGGAATAGAATGACATATAAATCAACTTTTGACATTTTCGCATACAAAATCTACCAAATCTAGTTTTGACTCTAAATCTAGTTTGTGACTCTAAACAATTGAATACGTCAATCAGTCCTAATATATGTCATATACTAACATACTAAATCTAGTTTTTTTTTATCTGATAAAATAAAAAAGTTATAGGGGTGACTCACTTTTGAGACGCACTCCGTATAAATGTAAATTTGATTTTTATAGTTAGTTGTGGCTGAATCGTTTGCATCGTCACCTGCAATATTCTTATTGATAACCTTTAACCTTTTAATCGTCATCACATACAAACACAAAGATAAGTCATTGTATTTTAATTAATTTTAGGGAAATTTCTCGCCTATAGCACCCCAGCCTCTGTAAATCTTATAACATCTCCTTTGCGATATATAAAAATTCCTTAAATCTGCTGATTTTTATAGATTTGACAACGCCACATTTGGAGTATTTTACCCTCCATTTTTAGTACCCTTAAAAACTATCTAAAAAACCTACATCACCCCAAACCATTGTTCGGGGTGACATTAAGGCCCTTTTCAACAGCCTCTGGTAACTTTACAAGAACTACCGACACAAGAATTATTTCATTATAAATAATCTTCAAATTAATCAAGGTCTATATACTTCTTCGGCTCACCGGTCGATGCTGATGGAAAACATGCCATCGAGCAAAAATTGGCGTTAGTATCCCGCTATCTATACTACTTACAAGTATGAATCAAAAGGTTTAGGAAATAATCACAGTCCATTTACCTGATGCATTAGGCAGCAAAAGTCAATAGTATTTAGACTAATAAAGCTTAGTAGTGCGGTAGTACTGATCAATTTATGTAGGTAGCACTGATCAATTTTTTTTATTCATTAGTTAGTAATATATTAATTTTCTTTTTTCTTTTTCAGTGTGATAGTGAGGGCGAAGATGATAAGGTAAGCAAATATTTTAGTTTATATTTAAAGACATGCAATTTTTATTTAATTCAATTCTAAATTTCTTTTTTATTATAAAGCTTATAAATAAATCACCATATTTTTAACGGTGAATTCAATTATCGACATCGGCCCAAAACAGAGTTAAAATATTTTATTTCGTTTTAATAAAACCAAAAACAGATGTACACGTTCCGCCGCATTCTCCATAAATAACGTTGGCCTATTATGTTTTGAACGAAATAAAAATATATAAAATCGTTTTTCGTTATTCCATAAATTTATGTTCGCAATCCGCGCTCAAATCTCCGTCACAATCGGAATATTTCGCCGACATTCTCGACAAATTGATCAAAATTTAAAAGGTAAATAAATAGTAATTGGATTGGCGTCGTCAATATTTTATGTCGTATTTTCATTTGAAATATTTATAGAAACAAGATTGAATTTCATTTATTAATTATCGGGAAATTCGGGAAGCTCGTTTTGAAAATTAGGCAAATTCGTAAATGTATAAAAGTAGAATATATTATAAAATTTCGTTTATTAATTATGAAAGAGATAACTTCATTGAATTAATTCTGGGATATGATTTATCGACAAGTTCTGTTTTTGAAAACTGTTTTAGAATTAACATGTATTATCTACATTTTGACTGCAAATAAATAAAACAAATTAATATTGAATGGAATAATGGAATAATTTTGATAAATGGTTAAAAATTTTCGATTAATATTGAGAATATACATAATATAGGTTACATCAGTCAGTTTTATTAGAGAAAACATATACCATAAAGATGTTATTTTCTTTAAAACACCCTGTGCAATAATTTCGTGAGGAAATTTTTCTAAAACATTATTTTTTGGTCAGAAGCATGTCTCCTGAATATTTTGTTTTTTGACTCCTGTCAACACATGCCTTGGTTAATTTTTAAGAGCAAAATGAACTTGCCACAAACATTTTGCAATTTTTTCAATTATCGTTACTTTTTGATGTTATTTTTCATAATGACGAGGGGGCTTTGATGATTATTGTTGTATACGATTGAATATGGTTCTTAGTGTCGAATATTGTGCAAAAAAGTCGTTGATCTTTATTATTAACTAACTAACATTTTCATTAACAGTATGAACCGACGTCTACAGACAGTTGAGTGGCCAGGGGAGACAATTATTAGAGATTATAGTATTTTTAGTAAGTTTTTTGTTTGTTTGTACCGGTAGTTATTACAGTTATTTTTTTAATATTCTTAGTTCTGTTAGTGTTACTAATATTTATTAAAACCAAGCCTGTGACGTTACTTTTTAACCTTTTTAATAGTTCTTTTAGAGTTCTACTCAGTGTCGATGTTACAGTAAAAGTTGGAAATCAGTGATTGTTAACAATTACTAGTAAAAGCTAACATTCACTGATTTGCGAAGACTACGCCAGTAAAAGTTCAACAATATTTTTGAATCCAACTTTTACTAGTGAATGCTAGCATTCCCTGGACAATAGCAGTGAGTTTGAAAGATTCAGTTAGCGCGGTTGCCTCATGTTATAAAATATAAGGATAAATAAGGATAAGTTGAATAATTGGCAATATAAGGATAACAGCAAATTAGGCTAAACTTTGGAAACGTTGACAGACGTCTGGCCTAAATTGCCGTAAATTCGTTTTTTTTTGTGGCTATGTGTAAATTATGGTATAATTGTTTTGTTATCGTTGTAAAAAGTGCTCGGCGGTATTTTCCTTATGGAAGAAATTTTGTGTGGAAAAAATTAAGGTAAATTAGGCACTCGCAAGAATGTAATAGTGCTTGTTTTTAATTTTTGTCATATAACGAAGTCATAGCAAAAATTAAGCGTGCAAGAGAAAAAGACATTAAGGAGCCTAGTGACTATGAACTTATTAAACGTTTTGATATACCTACTTGAAATAGCGAGTTTGAGAGAACGAATAACTCTTGTCAACGATGAAGAACTTTATTAAAAAAAAACTTGTACCAATAAGTAATATTATGTTTATGATTTTTTTTTAATTGTTTTGTATGCTTTAAAATGTTTACTATGTTTTCCTTTTTAATATTTAGAAGGTTATGGCGTTATTTTCTAAAATTTTTAATCAAAATACTAATGAAGTAAATTGTAATTTTAAGATATGTGGATTAGGTTGAATATTAAAGTGATCCAATATTCTTAAAAGTTTTATTTGTTCTAACTTCCACCAACGTTCTTCCTCACCACACTTGCCCTGTACAATAGAATTACTTTTACTGGCAACCTTTAGTAAATGTTAGTTTTACTAGTGCATGTTTGAAATTACTAGGAAAAGTCGACAAATCTTTTTAAAATACCACATTTACTGGTCCAATGCGTAATTGCTAGCATTTCCTAGTGAATGTTAACAATCACTGAATTTTCGACTTTCACTGTAACATCGATATGACATTACGACCATAGTCACGAAAGCCACCCCGTGATATTAAAAAATAACATCATAAAGTAATGATAGTTGAAAAAATTGCAAATTGTTGGTGGCAAGTTCATTTCGCTCTTAAAAATTAACCAAGGATGTATTAACATGAATTAAAAAAGAAAATGTTCAGCAGGCATGGCTCTGATCAAAAAATAATGTTTAGGAAAAGTTACTCTCGAAATTATTGCACATGGTGTTTTAAAGTTAGGGTAAAAAAACAACCCTTCAATTAACCCTCTATAATAAGCCATAAACTAAAGATTATAAAAAACTGAGGTTATGAATTAAAGTTGATAGATTTATATACAGTTTGCAAAAAAATTGATGAAAATGGGGGAAAAAGTAAAAAAAGAAATATACCATTTTAAACTTGGCGAAAAAATTCTCCGCTGCGTTTTTGTTGCATCTCAATGTATAATGTTAACCATCGTTAATTAATTTAACAAGCACTTAAAGTGAAAACTTATTAAAGGAAAGAATTATTCTATCACGGAAATAAACTAAAACGATCTGAAGTTTTTATAGAGCATAATAATATTAAACGATAAAAATACATTTAAAATTAATAGCTCCCCTAACAACTAAAGTAGAAGAAACGGGGAAAACAAAGCCGATTACTTATTCCGTCCGCTTTCGTAATAACAGCCGGACTATAATAAACCGGAATAATAATGTTATCACGAAGTCGTTCCTTTTCCCTATTAAATACACAAATTTACTCCTAATACATTATTTATTTTAGTCTAATATTTACTACTGGCGAGTTTGTGCTACGAAATTATTACCTTTCTTAATTGTTATATCGACCAGAAAGCGTATTATACGTTGCGTGCTGATAATTACAATAATTTGTATTAAATTATACGGAGAACAATGCAATTACCGTAATAGGTATGGTAAGGTTTAAATATTACTGTAGAGATGTTTGCCGTATAGGTATATATTATATGCGATTTGTAGATAATGTAAAATGTATACAGGGTGGGCCACTGAAAACTTACAATGGCTATAATTTTTAAACCAAAATAGATACCAAACCAAACCAAACCAAATCAAAAAAAATAAAAAATACCGTTTCTATAATATCGAGGGGGAATACATATGACGTATTTTCTGAACCACCCCGACCTACCCCTAAGGCGGCACTACTACTCACTTGAAAATCTTAAATGGCAACACTCCACTTGTGGCGCCTTTTTGGAAAACCCATGAAAAATGCTAAAAGATGATCATAAAGTTTTTAGGGTGAAATTGAAAAACTACCCTTTACACGAAAAATTAGGTGGACATTAATGAGAAAAGTGATTTTTTCAGCATAAGTTACAAATTGGGACCCAGCTAAATAATTTTTTTTCAAACTATTCCGACCTACCTCTAGGTGCCACCCCCTCACTTGTAACCTCAAGATAGCGATACCCCACTTGTGACACCTCTTTGGAAAGCGTATAAAAAATGCTGAACGACTGTCATAAAAAAGAACGAAAAAAAAACATAGTCTAAAAATAAAACAAAAATGTCAAAACGTGTCAAAATCAATAGAATGAATTATTTTTGTATCCATGAACCATTGCGAGAAAAAAAAGCTGGTACAAAGAAATTTATTATAACTCTTAATGAAGACCTCAAACACTTTCAGCAAGATGGTGCCCCTTCGCATTATTCTATTGTCACAAGGCGGTGGTTGGATAAATATTATCCAAGGCAATGGATTGGCAGAAGGGGTCTAATCGAGTGGCCGCCAAGGTCACCTGATCTCACTCTTTTAGACTTTTCCTTGTGGGTTTACACTAAATCCATACTCTACAAGACAAAACCAGGTTCGTTGCAAGAATTGCGGCAGAGGAGAACTGAAGTATGTCGAAATATTCCGAGAGAAACTTTCCAAAAAGTGAGAGAAGAATTTGAAAATCGTTTGTATTTTTGTATGGAACAAAACGGCTGTCATTTTGAGCAATTATTATAATAAATTATCATTTTAATTTTTTTTCAAATTGTCACACCTACATTTCTTGTCACTAACCAGTAATTAAGTTGAAGTCTGTATGACCATCTTTTAGAAGAAGTGTCACAAGTGGGGTATCGCTATCTTGAGATTAGAAGTGACGGGGTGCTAATAATCCGATATTAGCTATATATAGATAATAAATTAGAAGTGAGGGGGTGCCTCCTAGGGGTGGGTTGGGGTGGTTTGAAAAATACTTCATTTAGCTGGGTCCCAATTTGTAACTTATGCTGAAAAAATCACCTTTTTCATTAATGTCCACCTAATTGTTCGTGTAAGGGTAGTTTTTTAATTTCACCCTAAAAACTTTATGATCATCATTTAGCATTTTTCATGAGCTTTCCAAAAAGACGCCACAAGTGGGGTGTTGCCATTTAAGATTTTCAAGTGAGTAGGGGTGCTTCCTAAGGGGTAGGTTGGGGTGGTTCAAAAAATACATCATATGACATTTTTTTGATATCTTTTTTGGTTTAAAAATTATAGCCATTGTAAGTTTTCAGTGGCCCACCCTGTATATCACGTATAATAATAACATTT